AATTTTCCTTCAGTACTATTCAATAGTTATATTCAATATATGGAGATGAAAATTAGTGAGGTAGAAAAAGTTGCTCACCTTTAAGCACTTGCCACAAGCGTCTACCCCCGTAGGACCAACTGGTCCACAGAAGGCGGTCCATCCATATTTGCTACGCCATTCCAAGGGCTTATCACCATCCACTGCGGCGCAAAAAGAAGGTATGATCCAACCATTATTCGCAGGATTGAAGTTAGCCCAATAAGCGTTGACATTGGTAGCATCTGGGACGTTGTCGTTTGCATCACAATCCACAAAATCATAGTCCACAATAAGGTGACCGTCGAGATAGCCTTTTCCATCAGTGTCAATGGGTTGAAACGCAGTGTCGAAATCCAACACTAGGCCTCCAAAGCCGCAGGTATCGACAATTCTCACCGTTTCATAAGCTTCAGTGGCAGTGTTGGTCACCTTCACGTACGCACGAGAATAAATTATACATATAGCTCAGAAATTTTAATGAAGACAAGAGCTTCTTATAGAAGACAAAAGACAAATAGGAAACGATAAATAACTAAATTATCAAGGAAACAAAGCTTAAGTTCTTACATTTAAGCACTTGCCACAAGCGTCTACCCCCGTAGGACCAACTGGTCCACAGAAGGCGGTCCATCCATATTTGCTACGCCATTCCAAGGAATTATCACCATCTACTACGGCACAAAAAGGAGGTATTGTCCAATCATTTCCCGTAGTATTGTAGTCAGCCCAATAAGCTATGACATCAGAAGCACTTTGGGCAGCGGCAAAAGCCACCAGGCAGGCCAAGAACAGAATGCCTAAGCTTAGTCTCTTCATTTTTTGTGCGAAAATACTCAATTGGTTTGCTTGAAATCGTTTCCAGGATGTCCTCCAATTTATAGGAAAGGTTCCCTGATACAATTATAGACTTCATTTTTTCACCCTACTTGTCAAGTTTAAACCATGTGATTTTCATTTTTTTATACATTCTTATCGTTTTGTCAATAATTAAGTACTACAGTGACTCAGAGTCAAATAAATCTCTCAGATAAACACAATGTAGAATCATTAACTTTCTCAAGAACCGATAATTGTCATGGTCTCTTTTCAGCATTATTTGCCAATAGTATTTGTCTTTTTTTTGTCGTTGATTTGTCATAACAGTAATAGCAATCTCTTCATACTTTTTACATTTACTGGTGCAGGCTTGCTCTAGCCTAAATCATTGAACTTGCGTATGATCCATGAGATAAATATTAGGTAATTAGGGAGGCTTTAAGGTCAAGTAACCAAACTAAGGATTTTAGGTTTCAAATTTTTATAGATGTTGTAATTTTATAATAATAATAATAATAATAATAATAATAATAATAATAATAATAATATAATTATTATATTATATTAAAGATATCTAAAAATTAAAATAATTACTAAAATGACATATTTTCTTCTTTTTCTAATAAGTACTTAATAAATTTTAATTTTTTTATCATTTCAATTCTCATAATTCTATTAAATATCAACTATTTCTCTTATTCCCAATCTAGTAAGAATAATGTCAAGAAACAGACTTTGGTGATGATTAAAATGAAGTAAAGAGAGTTTTAAGAAAGAAATCAACGTTATCAAGAAAACCAGGTACTGGACATTAGAGAAGATGATCACTTTCACACACAAACTTGTCTTACAAAACATTACTTAAAAGCTACAGCTAAAGTCGACGAAAATCAACAAAAAAATCAGAAAATTAGTGCCACCATGGGCACATTCTAAGTCTGGTACCTAGTATGGGATAACCACCCATTACATGAAACGTGGTTAAGCACCACAACCAACTTCTAACATTAACAATAAAATAACTACTTAACAGTTAGCAAAGCTCCACTGTTGAAGCTGTGAACAGCTTCAATGATGAGGCAGGAACCACTCTTAACAAATAATATGCATTTAATAATTTCCAACTACTATTTTTTTTCTATTATAAATTTTCTTTCCTTATTTGCTCTTTCTTCCTTAGCTTCAATAAAAAAGGCTTTATTTTCTTAATTTCAATGAAAAAAGGCCTTTTAAGCCTTTAAAATTATTGAACTACTATTGCAATCAACTTCTTGGTTAAGGAATATTAAATATTTTAAATTAATTCCAAGTTAAGTTGTTTGTTCTGAATAAAGGGTTGAAGAGCAAAAGAAGATGGATGTGCTTTCAAATAATGAAGTCTTTATCAAGGTTTCAATTAGTAGTTAGATGAACTTTTAAGATATTTATGAACATATGAGATGCTACGATTTTCTTCTAACAATATAGATGTTTTATGACTGCATCTTTATCTTTAAAGAAGATATAGAAGCAACATTTGCGAGGATTCGGCTCCTGTCCATTAATTTGTCATTGTCATTTGTATATGGTTGGTCCTCCTTCCTATGGTATTTCTATATGTAGAGGAGATGATGTTGTCATGGAGTAGCTAGTGCCAACTTTAGAATTTTATTTTCTGACAATTTTCAAGCAGTTAAAGAAGGCTTTTTCATTTGCTTTCTCCTCTCTTTGCAGGCGTATAGTACATCAACCTCATCTGCAGACAATCCTTCTCGATTGTCTTCAGCTTTCATTTTTTTTTTCTTTTGTGCAGATCAAGATCAGTCTCTTGCTGTAGGGAAGCCAATGGTATAGCGGACCTTCTGTCATGGAGAGCTGCTGTTCGTATAAAAGGATTTAATGAAATCTATGAAAAAAATATATTTTTGATTATATGATGGTGAAATCATATGCATGCATTATATAGTAAGCCATATAATATTTACACACGTTTTCCTTTTCCATGCACTTATTATGACTCCCACATCACCGTCATAGTTGAGGT